TGTTTTGATTTGACTCAGTGTTCATTTTTAGGCTTGGACATTTAGTTTAATTAAAGATGATCAGAGAGCTAATTTTACTTATGTTCCTAACAACATACTTAAAGTTATAGTTAGTGTGGCTCACATTATCCTGAGATAGCTCTATAATTCTGCCACTATAGGCTTAAGCTGTTGGAGGACATAGGGATCACTTTTAATCATTCTGCTTTATTCTACTTCTATTCTCCAGTTCTGCATTTTTTTTTACTAGTTTAATCCCCAACTTTGTTTTCTCTGCTTTTTCTCCTCAGAGCAGCTTCTTCTGGGCTGGCACTCTGTTTAACTATGAGACCATCGAAGTGGGAGCCATTAGCTTTGCTGTTGAAATCAACAGCTTCCATTATAAATGAAGTAGTTGGGCCGATTTTCAGTGCTTAGTTCATTTTCTAGTCATAACTATGGGCTCAGCTCTTACTGTGATGAAAGGCATGTACTCTCTCTAAACCTTTTTGAAATAAAAACATTTTTAGAGCTCATTTAGAGCTCATTGCCATTTCTTTCCTAACAAAGCCCCCTATAGAGCTACTTTACAGTTACATTTTCTAACAGATACATACTTATGAATCATTCCTTCTATATTTCTATAAAGTGTCATATTCTGTCTCTTTAAACCCCCAGTTGGCATTGGCTGAAGGCCACTTACACCAAGTCTAATTCAGTTGGGAGTTTTTTTTTGTTGTTGTTTTTTTTTATTTTATTTTAAGAGTGCTTGTCCTCTCCACTGTTGCTGTATGCATGTTTGGTGTGAGGGATTGCTGCAGAGTCGATGACACAATGCAAGTTGTCACTACATGTTCATCCTGGAGGAATATATCCTCCAAAATCAGTGACTTGATTTAGTCAGCTGGGTTGCCTTAGCTAGAAAACTAATCTGTCTGAATGAGTTGATTAAACTGTCACTGTAAAGTTGCTTAGATGATTTGTTGTGAATTAGCACTATATCAATAAATTTAATTGAAGATATATACTATAATGCCTGCTCAATTATGGTGTACTTTTCTTCTGATGTATTGGATAACAAAACGGTAATTAGATTTTTCAAATTGTATAAAGATTAGAAAAGGTCATAATAGAACAGACTGTAATAGAATAGAATCATTAAACAGAACAGTAAACAACTTAAAATAATAAAGAAGAGAAGAAAAGAAACTGTGAAGAAGAGAAGATAGATCTAGTCTTTAGATAGATTATTTTGATTGATTTGAAATGTAACTGGATATAAAAAAATACTGTTCATTCTCAAAGAGCAGAATAGCTTTAACCACCAGATAAAAGTGCAGCACCCTGAAGTTCAGATTTGATAAGAAAGTCCTAAATCAGAATATCATGATCTCAGTGACGGTAACTTCTCTGATTACTCACTTCATTTACCTTCCATACCGTCATCACTCTCTAATTATCATTTATCTTAGTTACCTGCTTCCTCTGCTATATATACGGCTGAGCCCAGCTATCAGGGCAAGATCATTATTTGTGTATTCTTAGTTTATTTATGTCAATTATTCATGCTTGTTTCACACGTTTTAGTTAAGTTGCTGGTTCATGTCTGACTGTGGAAGGCCAGTGGATTGAGATGGTTTAATGTTTTTCTCCTGGTCGTGTCCCGGCTCTTCTCCACGGAGCCTTCAGGGTTTTGGCTGGGAACAAGGTGGAGGTCAGTTTTAATTCCTGTAAGCCTGGCTCATAGGAGGAGACCAGTTTAAAGTTCACATTTTTCCTGGAATCATGTCTCGTCTATGTTCTCTACCACTGAGCCTGCCCGTCTTCATCTGTGCATGTCTGTCTGCATCTGAACCAGCCTGTACGCAGGATTCCTGGAAGCCTGGATCCTTCTGTTCCTGTTTGGATCGGAATCTCTGATCGAGCAGAGGACTCCTGGATTCCTGTACTGTTCGTGCCTGAGCACACCGCGTCTCGTTGGCAGCCCATCGCCTGGATCGCACCTCTTTAAAGAGAGAATGGACTGAACTGTTCCCTTGTTTCTGTTATGTTTTATTATTTTCTGTCATTAAACGTTTTGAATCTTCCCAATGTCTGACTCGCCTGGAATAATGGATCCATCTGTTCCTTTTATGACACAGAAAGCTGGGTGCTGCAGTGACGTACTATTCAAAGCTACCATAAACCTCTGATTTTGGTGGGGTGGCAGCTTCATATACAGTAATAACAAAATGTATGTTTTCAAAACAACAACAAAAGAGGGATTAGGTTTAAATGCAAAAGAAAACAAAAAAAAAAACAAGAGCCATGAAGCTTTTCATACATCCTCTTTAATCTTTTTGAGAATAAAGGAAGCAATGAAACAAATAAAACAATTTTAAGATTTGTTTTTGCTTTTTAAAAGCTGAAAACTAGAAATGCTCCCATCTGACCTGTTTGCAGTTGTACTGAGAATGAACGCAGACCCTAACAGAAACGGGTCAGTGGCTGGTCACATTAGTATGACAAAGATGGGAATTCTATGCTGCAGAGGAATGTGTTACACAGCTCTCACCATCAACAAACACTTAACAAGTGCTCATCATCTGTGAGAAGTTCACCGTCTCTCTGGTAAAGTTTCTGTCTAGTCACCTATGTTTCACTATAAGCTGTTTTACAGACTAAAACTATACCTTACAAGAACACAATAGTATGATTATTTAGATTTAATTTGACATTCAATATGCAAGTAAACCTTTGTAACAAAAACAGTAGTGAAATGTCCTCCCTCCTAAATATTCCACAGTGAACTCTCAGCTGTATTATAAGAAAATCTAAGTGTTAGGGAACAGGAGCAACTTGTGGTAGGCCGTGTAAACTGCCGGAGGGTGGCGAGCAGATGCCGAAGTTCATAGTGCAAAGTGTTGGCCAACTTTCTGCAGAGTCAATGATGACACCTCCAAAGTTTGTGTGGCCTTCAAATTCAGCTCAAGAACAGTCCGCAGAGAGTTTAATGGAATGGGTTTCTATTATAGAGCAGCTGCACCTAAGCCATACTTCAACAACTGCAATGCAGCAATGCAAAGCGTCAGATGCAGCAATATACTGCAACCGAACTCCAGAGCAGTGGAGACCCATTCTTTGGAATCTAGAAATCTGACAGCAGTTCTGGGTTGGGCAGTTGCCAACAGAATGGTACATGTCTGACTGCACTGTGCCAAGTGTAAAGTTTGGTGGAGGGGGGTTTATGGTGTGGGGTTGTTTTTTAGGAGCTGTAATCATGTGCATGTGATCTCACAACTCACAACGCACTACTAGAAGACTGGTCAACAATCATCCATGGGAAATAAATGCACACGTCAAAAAGCCATTTTACCTCCTGTTTGTATGTCGATTCTTGATTTTCTTGGATCAGACCAATGACATTGTCATCTGATTTTTGCAAATATACTAGTCTGCTAGGTGGGGGCTGAAGTGGGGAGATAGCACAACTTTGTGGAGGATGTTGCAGGAAAGGATGCTCCCAGCCTCACCTCTTGCTCCTGCTAGTCAGTCAGGAAACTGACGATTAATAAGTAGAGGCTGTATATCAAAATTTTTGCACAACCATGCAATGATTTTGTCTTTGCATTTCCACAGCACTTGAATAGATTCATAGTCATCTCCTGATATTGCAATGTGTAGCTGTATGTCATCTGCATAATAATGGTAACTTACAGTAGCAGCCATTCAAAATGGCCCTTACCAGTCAAACACCAGCCGATGGGCAGCCCAATTTCCTGCATCTCTCAGCAAAATCTCCTCCAACTTCCAGCCACTGAAGTGACCACCATCTTTTCCTGGGCATGCATATTTTTTTACTCTGACTCCACCCTTTCACCAAATTACAGGGTCTGACCAGGAGAAGGTGCTTCTCTTTAGATTTTAATGTCCACAAATCATGACAGAAATATTTTTTAAGTTCAAAGATTAAAGTTTAAAAAGGAATTGTATGGGACCAGGTAAGGACCAGCTAAGGGCCCATCAAGGAAAGTGGGGACATTTTAAATGGCTACCACTCTACAGGATATCATTGTGTATTAACATCTCAGTTACAGTAAGGGGAATACTGAATAGTTGGGGCCCTCAGATGGACCTCTAGGAAATGCCACAGGTTATTTTTGTGGTCTCTGATGTAAAGTTACCTAAGGACACAGGGTGACAGGTCTGAAGTCACTTTACTCTCTAATGCTGTGTTTCTTGGGTACCAGGATAATGGCAGAATAATTAAAGCAGAAGGGAAGATGAGAATAGGTAAGTCAGTGTAGGCCTTCAGGCAGAGGTGGGAAATATAAGCGTTGCTTGGTCTTCTGATCAAAGGTGGATGTTTTGAGACTAACCAGTCTCAACTTTTATTTTTCCCAGTCTTGGTCTGAGATTGTTAAGCCTTGGTCTGCATTACATTTTGCCTGCCTTTGATTTATTGTATTTGGGGGGTCAGTTTGTGTCTTACATGCTGAGACAAGGGGCCCAGTCACCTCTGCTATGAGCCTCGTCTTTGGTCCAATGCAGCTTCCTAAGTTCTGAAGAGGATCTTGTTCAGTTGATGTTATATTTGTAGGGATTTTAGGGTTTTATCTACACGCACACACACAACCCCCACCATCATCCACATCAGTGACTGAGGCTTCATTCCATCATTAGCTGCTCTGAGGAACACTAGGCTTGCTTAATCAAAGAAGCAAGCCTGGCATACAGAGGTGCTACCGGGCCTTTTGACCAACTTCAGTATGCATTCCGGTTTAAGTGTATGTCCGTAGACACATCAATTGAGACAGAAGGACTTCGAGTTAGAACCAGCAACCCTCAACCCATCAGAGCGACACATTAAAATTTTTTTTTTATATTTTTACTATCAATGAAAATATGACAATGCGTTGTAAAAGTTATGGAAGAAATGTGACTTTCTTTGTGTGTGGTGAATTACGCTGCATGACTATTTTCAGAAGGAGCTCAATCACAAAAACAGTAAAAATCCAACATAAAAGCTGATTAGTTCCCACCTCTCACTGACAAGCTCTTCCATCACCGGCATCTGGCCTTCAGCGCTGACATTCATGTAACCATAAATGCAGAGAGTTCCTGCAGAAATACAATAACAGTTAGAAAATAATCAGAATAACTTCTACTATCAAAACATGAGACTTTAAAAGTTTAATGAAGTGACAGGTTTTATAAGATTGCATTAACATCAATGTTCTAATCTCCATCATGAATATGGAAATTTTACATTTCTGTTTGACATGTTAGAAAATCTGTATGCATATATGCATTTATTGCAAATTACACCTTGCTTTAAACATAGATAACCATCCCTAAGGTGCAGGGTTAAATACAAGCATTCATGCTGGATCTACAGTAAATCATCAAAAAAAAAGTGCATTGTAAAAAAAACGCACATCATCAGTGGATGGAGTCACTGCTTACACTAACATACAGGATCTCTTACAAACCATTTCTCCTTGCATTTTATTTTTTTATATAAAAGTCAACCAGAACAGTGACTGAAGGAAGCATTCCTTTTAATCAAATTTCCACTGACATGCAAGTGAGATGCCGGATTGAGACAAGAAAGGTCAGGCTTGTGAAGAGGTCAGAGACACTGGATGTTTCTGACCTCATTCATCTCCTGAATAACAAAACTCGTTATGCTTCAACCATATGGGCAACTGTCAGAACCAATATATCATGTGGACACTTAGAGCCATTATTCTTCTGTACAAACGCTACAGCAAATAAGGCAAAATCTTGTAAAATCTACATTATACATACAGTAACACCACAAATTAAAGCCTATAGCAAAGATTGTGCATGTCATGTTTACAAAAGTAACAAACAAGAAAGGAGAAAGAGCTACCTATTTTATACAGTATACTTAATGGTTGCAGTTTGTTTTGCAAAAAACTAAAGAAGGGGATTGCAAAGTGTGGAAGACATAGCTCCCACTCAGAGAGCTAATTGACCACTATTGAATTGGCAGCTCTACCTGAATCTTCAAAAGTTAGAACACGAGTCTCAAAGTGCCATTTGCCTTGTCTTAATGACTGGGGGATTGTTGAAAGGTCTGTGATGGCATCTTTAACTTCATGGTGATAAGCAAACTGCAGGGGGTCCTTATAGTTTCTAATAGTAGTGCAACCAGAATCTGTGTAGGACCTTCACAAAGTGGGATGCCAGGGCAACAGGACCATAGTCATTGAGGACTGATGGCTCAATTCACTTTGATACTTGAAGAAGGCAGTAGGTCTTCCACTCCAGGAACTGTCTCCTGTATCACGCAAAGGTCGTAGAACTGCTGTTAAGCTGTTCTTCAACCACATAGCTGCTCTTCACAGGCCTAAAGCATACTGTGGAGGACAACATCTGGATCTTGAGCCTTTTTCAGTAAATACCATGTTCTGATATTTGGCTTTGAATAAACACATAGAAGACTGACAGTCCATGGTTTAGGGGCAAAATGTACTGATATGTAAAAAAAAAAACAAAAACACAAACAGGTAAGACAACATGATAAAGAGAGGTATTCGAAAAGCAATTCACAAAAACACATCTATCCACAAAGGGTTCACAACACCATTAGAATAATTATTATGATGGTAAAAGCATTGCAGTTAATAGTTCAGAGTTTAATTACAGAATGCCAGGCAGGACATCTATCATAGATATTTTCTTTTTTTTTCTTTTCTTTACCAAAGCCCCAGGTCCAACCTTAATCCAATTCAACTGTAGAGGTACACATACTCTGCTGTTCTATATAAAATATATATATAATCAAGATGAGATTATACAGAGATTGAAGTGTCAAAAACATAACAATTTCTCTTTTGAGTCCTGATTCTAAGGTATTAATTGGCTGTGAGGGGTGGGGACTGATAAAGACAATGCCAAATGTAAATATGAATGATCTCTAAATAATCCTGTAGAAATATTTCAAATAAACCACACTACTGCAATAAAATATTTCTATGACCCTGAAATAAAAATATCCTGTATTCAGCTTTGTAGGTCATAAGTTTCATTCAGTGAAAGGTGAAACTTTGCCAATAGTTTCTTGATCTCATCAACATCATAAGGTGAGGCAGGTAACAGAGCTCTCAAAGAAAAAAACCTTACCACTATGGATGCCTCTGTGCATAATCTAAATTTGAGGTATATTCCTAACATTGGATAGCTACTTTGGTGGGAACACATTAACAAGGGGCAAGAGTTTTTGTATGCTTTTTACTAGGATCAGAGAGATAAGCGTTTGGTTAAAGCCAAAGCAGCAGCCAGAAATTGACCAAGTGCTAAAATAACTTTGTTGTGCCAAACTGGTTTCAGGCATGATTATGAAGTCTCGATCAGAGGGAAAGGGAGAAAATACATTTTAGAATTGTGTGATGGCCTGATATGCACTAGTCCCATAAAAATGAATGCACTGCTTCTGCCACCATGCTTCTTGATGCTCTAAGCAGGACCTTTCACAGAGAATTGAACGCACTGATAAAATCCTGTGGTTTATCAACCTGAGTAACCCTCCAGATCCTTGTAAAGACCAACCACATTCTAGGTGATTTTTATAGTCTCAAACAACACTTAATAGGGCTTTAGTCTGTAGTTGTTTGTTTTAGGTAATTCAATCAT